TCCAATTTTAGGTCCTAAAGTATAGAGTAATTTACTTACATCAGCCTTCTGGTGCTTCATGTAGGCCCCTCGAGGTCTGTGGGGAAGGTTTAGAGAGATGTTGGCATTTTTACTAGAGATGGGAAGAGGGACGTCTTCTTTCAGTCGAATCCGAGCCCCAGCATAACCAAACTGTTCCAAATTGACAGGATCCCTCAGAATTTGATTTTTGGAGAAGTGGTCTGAACATAAAGGATGGTTTTTAGTTGGCGCAAACCCCTTGCGCCTGCAAAAATTATCGTTTTCCTCCGACCCATCTCCTTCTTGAAGGTAAAAAAATCTCTCCACACCCCTTCTTATGCACGTTGTAACACCCATAAGGAGCACAATACACCATTTCAACAGTTAAAAGTGCACTTATCACTAATATGTTTGCTAAAGGGTCTAATTGACCCATTATGTAAACACAAGTGTTTTTGCCCCGTGTGGATCCGGGTCAGAATAAGTCCTCAGTACCCCCTTGCTTGTAGTAAAATGCGACCAAATGGGGCTGTCCTTCGGACGAGACCGTATAAACCGAAGCCCCGTGTCACAGCAGGTGTAGCAAGATAAAGATCCCTCCGTGCTCAAAGGCCATAAGTGCCGAGCATAGGCCTAAATTTGCAGCGCTTCACCGGCAATGATGACGTCTCCTATCCGTGAAATATTCTGGAGAGGGACGTTAAACAGTATACAATCAATCAATAAGTGCTTTCTCGCCTTCTCGGTTGACCAGAATTGACCCTATGACGTCACAGCAATGGCGCGTGAAATCTCGATGAAAATATGCATATTGAGAATTTTGAATTGCAAAAACAAGGAATATATACATTTTTGGTAAAGAAAATTTAATGACTGGTTTTAATCGCATATAAAATCATTGTTATATCGAAAAATAAAGCGGCGTGATAAGAATCCTTTAAATTCAAAAGCAAAATACAAAATAAAAGAACAGACGGAAAGATGGATAGACGGAAGACATGGCAAACATAATATGCACTGGACATATAAATACAAACAGAAAATACTTATATATACATTTCATAACTAATGGAGTAATAAAGGATACACTTTTTATCAAAGTACATAATAAACAATGTCTTACAAAGTAAGTGTTTGTAAGTGACACGTGCTTTTTTTGTTTCAAGTACAATATAAACAGAATTTCAGAAAGCAAGTCTCCGTAAATGAAACATGCGTGGTTTTTTCACCACAAAGTACATCATACGCAAAGTTAAAAAAAAGTCTCGAACAGCTGCTAAATTATATCTTGAATGATATCGTTGTTGCACAGCAAGTTTAATTTTAGTTGCTGTTGTGAGAGAAGGTAGTCTTCAAGATCCTCTGGTGTGTTTGAAGTAGTTGAGCTTGGTTGCGTTTGGTGAGGAATACTTTCAAGGGGCCTTCGAAGAGTGTAAGTCGAGCTGTGGTGCTTTCACACTGACATTTTTTCTGCCTGTGTGGTAATTGAGAGTGAGGACGTTTTGTTTCATGCTGCAATATATGCATTTGGTGATTGTCTTCCCAATTACAGTCTTGGGTATGGTTATGAAACAACAGCTTCACGTTGTTGTTTCCAAGATTGATGCAGCAAGGATGAGGCCAACAAAGTCAGAAAATTCCTTTAATAGAATGCTCTTGTCTTCTACAACATTTTTTACTGGTGCAATGTTACTGATCGATGTTCTGGGTGTTGTGGTCCATTTTATTTCCTCGTTGAACTTTCTTGTTGAGACATTGACAATGTTGTAACTTTCGTTTACTTTTATTTCATTAATGTTTTCTCCCCATACCGTCAGGATGCATCCTTTTGTAGAGTTTGTAATCAGCACTTCTGCTTTTGAGGTTTTCTTACGATACATTTCATTTTTCTTCTTTAAACATTAATACTTTGGCATTGATGATGACCTTAGAAATAGATATCATATTTCACTTCTGCTTTTGAGGTTTTCTTGCCATATATTTCATTTTCTTCTTCATCTTCTATAAGCATTATTACTTTGGCATGGAAGGTGACCTTAAAAATAGAAATCATATATATAAAAATTAAAAAATTTTAAAATTTTATTAAGTGCACATTGTCCTCCTCCATTTGTGAATGTCAACGTTCGAAATAATAATGGGTCATTATCTTTATAGGAAGCGTAAAAGTATACATTCCATTGGTGCTGAAATGTAAGTTCTCACTGTTGCTGTCCAGTGCAACTGTCAGACAAGTGTACAACTTCCTTTAGCCCAACACTATGGTTAAGGTCTAGTAAATGACTTCAGATTCAAATGATCTTTTGCTAGATCTTTCATTACGGCATAATCAATTTTAACTTTCTTTTTTCCATAATTTGCGGCTTTAGCAGAATTATGTAGACTTCAGGTTATTTTCACGGCATTCAATTTGAAATCATATGAAAAGAAATCCCGATACCTATATTGAACTTGATATATATTTTTTTCAGGTTACATGTATATCTCTTGACTATAAACATAGATATGAGTTCATTGCTGAATTTGCGACAGCTCATTAACGAAATATTTTGTACCAACAATGTCACTTAGCAGGTAGAACTATGAGACATTGCGTTATTTCAGTTTAATAAGCCAACACCACAGTATCGGTGAATAGATTGATTGATTGACCGCTGCACTTTACTTCCACAGAGATAAGACATGTAAATAATATCATTTAAAGATAAATAACACAAACTTTTTTCAGAAATCAGCATTATTTCTCATAGATTTACATTTAAATTGACAACCTGAATAATGTTTACGAAGTAGAGTTGGAGAATGTTATAAGATTTTGTCATAAAGTTAAAAAATTGTGCAAAATTTTGTATGGAATTATATAGAAAGCAAAATAAAATCTCAAATCTAAGCACCAAGGAAAACCTACGATTTCTTTATATTTCAGGGATTTATTATATCAATACAAATCAAAATCAGTCAAAAAATATATATCAACCTGCGCATCCAGATTGATTGACCGCTGTACTTTACTTCCACAGAGATAAGACATGTAATTAATATCATTTAATTTACCGGGGGTATCTTGGACTTTTAAAATGTAAAAAAAATTGTAATTGATTACAAAAGTGTGTAATATGCTTGAATTTCTATATTTTAGAATTTAGAGGTAAGGGGAGATCACTCTAATCGAGAAAAATACCATGGAATCAAAACTAGTAAATGATCGGTGTAGAAAGGTTTCTTAAATAACTTTTAATAATGTTCAATTCACATGTTAAATTGTAGCACTTGTCCTCGTTAGCAAGCACCTTTTGCGTAAACCACTGTTTTTGTGCCTATTGTACCATTTACATGGTTTTTAGAGAATAAATTGATTTAAAACTTTAATGGGGATATTAAAACGGGTTGGTGGTTTGATTAAATCCCTTCAAGACTCTCTTTACACCAGTGCAAAATGTTTTTTGGACATCGAGAAAAAAAATATCTTTTAAAGGTGCTGATATTGAGCTGATTTATTTACTAGTAATTTTCACTACCGTAAATCTGGAAATTTTTACTGTAGATAAATTTTTAGCAAATTTGCGCGTGCATTGCATTCGCAAAAATATTTTTCTTAAAAATAAATCAACATGTGAAGAATATTTTTTCTGAGGACTCGTGTCTTTTTTTTTTACTCAGTGAATAGGCGTCGGTAAGCACTGGTCAATTTTAAAAGAAACCTGTTTATACTAGTCTACCATATAACTACAAGTTAATTACCCGTGCGTGTAAATTACCCTCATTGACAAGCACTGAGGCGGTATGCCCCTTTTTATTTATTTTCATTAATTAATTTGCCAATTAAGAGAGAACTGTCATTTTATCTAACCGTGTATCAACACGGGCGATAACTCAAACTCAGTGTGTTTACTAGAAAGTTCCAAATGTAAACGTGGTGTGTCAATTTTAGGTGAGAAAAAAAAGAAACGTTGAGAAAATAATATATTTATTCTTCATTTGGATTAAACTTTTAGTCAAAAGGCTTAAACAACCTCTAAAATGTTTGTTATAATTGATTTAAATATTATTTTCAGTGCAAATCCATTTGCATTTTAATCAAAATTGTTTCGGAACGATTTTGTAATATGTTGCCACGTTGTGAATAAACTGGGCATATTATTTGAAACATACACTGGGTGAAAAAAGTGGTTTCCCATCATGGGAAACTTTATGGAAACCACATGGAAACCTCGTTTACATCATGTTTCCCAGTGGTTTCCGTAGCGGATGCTAGGTTATTCCGCCAAGTTTCCGTGACACGGAAACCCCCTACGCTCCGATTCCATAAGGTATCCCGAACCACGGAAACCTCTGTAAACCTGAAGTTTCCCGAACATCCATGTAGTTTCCCGTAATGGGAAACCTGAAGATTCCACTGGTTTCCAGAATCAGGAAACTTGATGGAATCGGAGCGTAGGGGGTTTCCGTGGAATGGAAACCTGGTGGAATCTTTAGGTTTCCTTATACGGGAAACTACATGGAAGCTCGGGAAACCTCACGATTCCTAAAGTTTCCTTGACTCAGGAAACCATATGGAATCGGAGCGTAGTGGTTTCCGTGAAATGGAAACTTGATGGAATCTTCAGGTTTCCTTATATTAGAAACTACATAGAAGCTCGGGAAACCTCACGATTCCTTAAGTTTCCTCGACTCAGGAAACCATATGGAATATGAGCGTAGTGGTTTCCGTGGAATGGAAACTTGATGGAATCTTAAGGTTTTCTTTTATGGGAAACTACATGGAAGCTCGTGAAACCTTATGATTCCTGAAGTTTCCTTGACTCAGGAAACTATATGGAACTTGTGTAGCACTTTCTGTGCGGCGGAAACTTGGTGGAATTATCTGGAGTCCCATTCATGGTGGAAATTACTGGGAAACTTCAAGATTCCCCAACTTTTCTAAAGGAAGCAATGTGAAATAATGTGCATTCTTTTAAAAATCTATCAAAAAAATTTATTACATGTAAAAGAAAAAAGCATTATCATTTTATATGTTTAATAATTCATTTGATGTACAAAAACTGTAACTGAATTTTTCAATGATATCAAAATATTAAATAAATTCATATATCTTAGATAAACAATGGAACAGTCTTTCACATTTAAGTCCATTCATAAGGGTCATTAAGTACTTCTTTCAACATCAGTTTCCTGGTTTTCTTCACATCACCTATGATCTGCAATATTCATACAAAATTATTATATGATGTCAGAATTATAATGCTTGAATATAACTTAGAAATCTGAAAGATCAGTCAATGTCCTTTAATATACATGTACAAATATCAATAATTACTTTCCATGACCATTATACATATGATTTCAGCATTTAATCTATCTCTTTAATATTTAATGCTTTATGATAAGTGAAAAAAAATAACATAATATAAATAATGTTTTCAGCCTTAGTATGTCATTGAGAATATATTACTACATGTATCTCATACTAAGAACCCTGCTTTAAGTTTGATTAGTTTGAGAGAAAACATACCCTTTATAATAACAAAAATATTGGGGAGAGATTTTTTTTTTAATTTAGATATTCGACCTTTAAATTGGTTGAAGATCATTGCAGACCCTACACCCCATTACACAAAAGCTAGATTACACCAGGGGGGAAATATACTCTGGACTACGATTTTAAAGATATACAGTACATTTTGATACTGACCTTTGACCTAGAAAATTTGTCCAAGGTCAAATGGAGTGATGGGTAGACACTGTCTTAGGGTATCCACAGAACAGGATCTAAAAATAATGCAATATATATATATATTACAGTATATATACACATGTACTTGTATGTTAATGATTTATCATATGCTGCATTGGACACATATGATTTTATCATGGTTTAAGTATACATGTATCTTATGAGTAATCTTATACCGGTATTGCATGTATGCTCAGTTTATTTAAGAAATAAACAATAAGTTTATAAACTTCAATGGGAGAGATAACACAAATGTATATATTAACAAGTAATTTAATTTTTTTTTTTTTTTTTTTTTTACATATATTGACCAACATTATTTACAACCATTCATCATGTTCATGAATTGGCTGATCAAAATTCAGTCAGTTTTAGATCTATATGATATACCATAAAGGACTTTGAAGTTTCACATTTACAAAAGTTATTCCCCTTCGCAGGGTCGATCTGGGGTCAACCGGCTTAAGACTCTGTTTTCCCTCTTTAACCGTATCAACGTTGAGGGACAATATCTTAGAAATAAAATCTGTATGAAACATATTCATTATAATTTTCATGTTGCCCCCATACTCTGGCAATACAGATACAGATCGTAATTGTCCAATATTTTTGAAGATTGAAAATATATTAACAAGTAACTTACAAAGGACAAAGTGGGAAAAATGAGCGATACGCCGGCAATTGGAGAAAACTCTTAGGAATGTGAAATTCGTCTATTGGTGATGACAATTCCTGTTTTAATGTCACTGAAAAATTAAGAGACATTAAAAATTTAAGCCCTGATTGTCATACACGCATGCTGTTTTTTCATCCATATAACCTTTTAGTATCATAAAATTTACCAAAATTTAATACTTCAAATAATTTCATTGAATATATCTATAAAATAAAGGAAACTCTAAAAAATTAATGACTTGCAGAAATTATTCCTTGGAGAGAAAAAAATCTATCATATTTCATATAAATATATGCATGAGCCTTTTTTATGCATTTAAAACATATGGTATGTGCCTCATTTCCCCAAGAAATTTTCAAAGACAATGGACTATCTGTAAGCAGAAATCATTGCTGTTTACTTACATTGGAAAATTTATGAAAATAATTAATTTTTTTTTTTTTTTTGAATAATGCTAAAAATAATTTAATCTATTAAAAATAATCTAACTGACTGTAAAATAACATTTTTCATAATCTTAATCTAAGGGCAGATCACTCTAACTTCATAAAACTACCTGATATTAAAGTAGAACTCTTTAGTGTGCAGTTTTTAGAGCTTCATTTAAGTAATCAAAATACTGACCAGCAAGAAATCAGTTAATAAGCATTTCCTTTTTTTCATTCAATTTTTTGGAGAGAGCTCAGTTTTTTTCCTTTTCAATTCAGGTTCAAGATGACAAAGTTTTATTGAAGTGTATGTATTAGAGAACTGATTGTATGTCAATCATAGCAATACACACATAACATGGAGGGGGTAAATTGTTTCAGCCCTAGCTTTTACATAAAACTTCTTGTAGCTCACAGCTGATAAACCACAGTTCAGTATTTAAATAAAATTTAGAATCTTTTTTTTTCCAGGCAATTGTCATATACATACTAATCATGAATGAATTACCACTTACCAAATGACCACATCCTGAATCATCATACATTTTCTATGATTTTATCTCACTGGTTTTCTTTTAACGTCACACAGTTTTCTTCTCTCTGAAATGATAAATTATGTCCAGGTACTATTGCATTCTAATTTAAACTAATTATGTAATAGCATTAGCAACAACCGTGATGGAAGAAAAAATAACCAGAGGTCTCTGTCGAGACTGTAGCTCTAAAGACTGATGCACAGAATTATGTATAGTCTACTTGTGTGCCAAGTTATATTGAAATCAGACTAAAATTTAAGGAGGAGTAGTGTTTGCAGACAGACGGACAGACAGACAGACGGCCGGACGCATTACTATCGCATAAGCTCTTCTGGTCTCCGACCAGTAGAGCTAAAAACAAGATGCGCTTGTGAAACACAGCAACAAAGTTTGAAAATGCAATTTTTTTTAGCATACAGGTCACAGTCAAGATCACATAATCATTGTCCTTGTTGCCATTTGAAAGCACTTCATTAGTGAAGTATGCATACTAAATATGAAGCCACTATCTCCTATAGTTCTAAAGTTATGGTGAAGGTTTAAGTTGACGACAGACACTCAGACAGACACACAGATATACAGTTATGGCAAAAGTTTGAACATTATAACTTGGTATACACACAGCCACTTCGAGGTATCAAGGGTAAAATTCATAGCACAGCGGGACTGCATTTTGACTTCGAGGGATCAAGGGTTTCGAGAGATCAGGAGTTCGAGAAATCAAGAGCAAATCTGCTTAGTTATATAGAGGAAAAAATCGGGACCTAAGACTCACTTCAAGCGATCAAGAACTTCTGAGAAATTGAAGTTCAAGCCATCAAGAGTTACTTGTATATACAGATATAAGAAGCATGTTATTATTTGCAATTTTGACCCAATGACAGCTAAATCTGTTCAGTAAGACAATACCGTGTACATGTATATGTACACCGTTTTATTGTGGATTATTTGCTATACATTGACCTACTCAGGTCAATAATTGTGAAAAAACTGATAATTCAAGCTGATGATTCATTTGCATTTCTTGACATACTATCAATATTAATTCACTATTAGGCTTTTCTATTTTAAATCTTCATCTCAACAGGTTAGACGTTACAAAAAAAAAATCTTTTGAGCAGTAATCTATTTCAATAAACAATAAAACAAACCTAATCTCTTCAGAAAAGTGGACAGGCTTTCACCTACATTCACTTTTTATGTATATTTTTCCTCCATATCATCGACATGCATATGATTAAGGGTCAATCTATTCCTACTGTTCTGATGAGGATATCCTTCATGAATAATCGGATAAGCTGAGATTGTAAAAATGTCGATGCTTTTATCAAAGTTTTGAACCAAAAATATTTAATTTATACCTTGCCATAAGTCGTAAGTTCCAAAAAACAAGAGTTGGCTATCCGAAAAGTCAGAAATCACATGTATTCAAACCGGATGTTCTACAGTCTGAATTTAACTACGAAACCATGCTCGGTGTAACTATTATCATCCGGATAATTTGAGCGGGGTTAAAAATATTTTTTTTTCATTCCGAAAAGTATTCATTTATATATAGAGAGAGAACATACATTTTAATAAACATGATAAAAAGCGAAACGTTACCATTTTACAACATAAAGCATGCACATGCACGGTGCCTTTGGGGCCTCCATAATCAAAGTTATGCTATAGGCCTATATCACTGTCTCAAATTTCTCTCTCTCTCTCTCTCTCTCTCTGCAATATATACACTTAACAATTTAAAACTTAGGTATCCAACTTTTCAAAATGGCATCAGAACAAAAGTTGCCTCCGATTGTGAAAATTTGTTGTTGCCAAATATTACAACTATTTACCGTAAAAAGTTAACAAAAATATACGTACGCTAATCCTTCATCGTTGGCCATTGCATTTATCACAGTCTTAAAGACACTGGGTGATGAAACCATCTTAACTTTTCACATTTACCAGCTGCTTACACCTTCTTCTTCGTCCTTCTCGATCCTCCAAAAATGGCGCCTCGGGAAATTGACCAATGAAATAAAGCGCCCAGAGAGCGATGCAGGATGGGAAATATAAACTGTTTACATTCACTATGATTAAGTGTGATTATGAGATCTTATATTAGAATTTAATTAAGTTTTCCGCTTTTCATGGAATAAAAAGAGGGGCTCCTAAATATTTTTGCCGATATGATGTGTAGGCCTAGTACTGTATATTTAGAAAAAAGCGGTTAAATACATGATGCAAGAGCAGAAAAAAAATTGTTTCTTGCTTGACACCTCAACTTAATTTGCCTTCGGGATATGGGTTTCGGGGCTTGGTTGTTGGTAGTGGCCGTCCTTGCTGAAAGTACCCCCCCCCCTTTCCCCGCTTCTTTTAACTGTTACATGTATGATTATGAATTTATAATGTCACACCAAAAGATGTTAAATTTTTAAAAGCACATTTTTTTTATTGTGAACTTTCCATAGGAATCCTTAAAGGCATGAAAATGAGCTACAATTATAATATGATTATCAAGAACAGTTTGTTTTTTTTTTATTTCAATAGTGATGATTGAAAAGTTCGGTGATTAATAATTCATTGCTAATAAATTGTTGTGGTTTTTTTGGGGGGGATTAAATTACTAATTGAACTCCCTCCTTTTTGGGGTTTAATTAGATTTTGCGCCCGTATCAATATTACTGGTGGACCTGCTAGACTTTTCTCTAATTGCTACATGTACATTGTACTTTAAACTTCTTGGCCTTTAGCTAAAAAAATTTCCCACATCATTTTAACACGTAAAATTGTTAAATGAATCAGAATGTTGAAAACCTTTTTCTTAGGAGAGTTATATCTCTAGGTGGAACAAAACTAACGTCTTATCAAAGGCAGGAAAATATAACAGTATTTTAATTCAGTATTTTAGTCGTGATTGGTATAAGTGAAGTCATGGGAAAGATTATGTCGAAAGTCATCTATACTCGTTGATGTGCAGGACGTACTGTACTTATGCATACAGTTTTAGCTGGTCCCGCCCTGTATTTCTTTAATGTTTTTTTTTTCGTTAAGAAATCTGGTAAGGTATGTTTACTAGTAAAAATAAAATCCCGGTTAGTTTATTACTCTAACGGAAATTACTTTCCTACAGGCCTGAAGATCGAGTCTATTAGTCACCCAAGTTTTTTTTCAAAAAGAGTCAACTAGCATGTCGGCGAATAAAAATAAAGTAGTGCACAACATAGATAAAGAAATGTTTGTTGAAGTATTGACAAACTTCATACCATTATAGAATGAAATCAACAAAAACTGAACAAAAATACAATTGTGACAATTATACAATGAATTAATCACAGGTACTTGTAGACAGGACCCCCCCCCCCCCCCCCGATATTCAATTACGGGGCTTATTGGAATTTTTTTTTTCAAAAATTATATTTATTATGCTTATTCATCATGTGTACAATATGAAAAAATCGTCAATACCCCAAAACAATCGCTCCACCAAAAAAAACCCCACTATACATTATAAGGGAGAAAGGTATGCCACTCCGGTTTGTTTACGTTGTACCCCCACTTTATAAACATGTATTTATTTTATTTCAACCTAAAATGTCGATTCACATCGTCTCTACATATATTTCTGTCTTAGTGCATGCTGTCGGATTAACTCTGCATCTCGTAAGAATCCCACAATATCTTTAAACAGTTTTCCAGTCAGAAGTTGAAATTTCTCTAGGTAATCGCAACGGAAGTGCATAGAGAATGTTTCACTTATTAGGATAACGTCCGAGAGAGTTTTGGATGACGTAATAATCTCTCTCGGGTTTTATCATACATTCTCTATGCACTTCCGTTGCTTTTACTGAGGGAAATTTCAAACCGGAGTGGCATACCTTTCTCCCTTATAATGTATAGTGGGGTATTTTTTTTTGTGGAGCGATTGTTTTAGGGTTTTGACGATTTTTTCATATTGTACACATGATGAATAAGAGTAATAAATATAATTTTTGAAAAAAATGTCCAATAAGCCCCGGGATTGAATATCGGGGGGGGGGGGGGGGGGGTCCTGTCCACAAGTACCTGTGGAATTAATTATACAATTAATTCTTTTAATAGATTGCCTTAGCATGTACTACTTTAAAAGCCATTGTTCTTAAGGAAAACAAAATCATGCAAAATATTATAGACTTTTCTTTATCTAAAGCAATGGCCTTTGGAGAAAAAAAATGGCTGAAAATTTTAAAGTTTGACATACATTTAGGACCCTACATTGTAATTTCATGCGAAAAGTGCAGGCGTTTACTACACGGGGATCTGCGTACATATTTAAACAAAAAAGGAAAGAAAAAAAAGTTTTTTGTGATGAATTATATTATATTAAACATTTATCTAATAAATGTCTTTGTGGTACGTTAGATTACAAATTTCACACAAAAACCCATCAACAATATTAAATACAGTTTTGATTTCACATCGATCTATTAACGTCATTCTGATTTAATATAATTATACACGACGAGAATTAAGATCTATTCAATACCTATATAACATTATTTATTTTCTAAAGAGGATAGTTTTATTTTAAATCAGTAATGAAAATTGAAATAAAAATTCTAAATGGTTTGTTCTTTCATTGAACTTCTTAAATGAAGGTTATTTTATAAATATGTTCTCTTGTATAACTTTATTTATGGAATATACAATTTTTTAAATGATAAAAGAAACACGAATCATCATCTTAATCCAAAGGGATTTTCGGTCGGAGACTGTGTGTGTACATGCTCGACAACAGCCTATTGTTACCTTTAGGTACAAAACCGTCTCAATTCACATAGAATATACAAAAAATACACAGTGACAGGTGTCTTCGCGGCACGTGTCTCCACCTGAAATGGCACGTGAGGACAGGTGTCCCTAATTACACAGGCCGACCATAGTGATTTTTTCAAAAGCGTTTTTCTTTTGGTGGGGGGGGGGGGAGGGGGGCTTAAGGAAAAAATGAAAAGAAACCCACCCACCCCAACAATAAAAATAATAATTTAATAAATTAAAAAAAAAACAATATTCACTATTAATAGTAAAATATTAGTATGATAATACTCAACCCCCAGCCAATTCGATGAATGATTCTTATCTGACCAGTTTATATTAATATATTAATTCATATTAAAACAAAATCTTTATCACTTTCTACACTTGTATTTAAAAACTTGAAACACTAAAAATGTAATTTTGACAAACCAACTGAAGTATTTTTTTCCTGACGGATTACCCCGGTATATAAGAAATGCCAACCTCTGGTATCTAACACAAATGCCTGGTAAGGTACCTTGATGTCTTGTGAAAACATGTAATTATGTAAAAATAATTCTTCAATGTCAATTGCAAAATATTGGGAAATTTTTTTTATTATTTTATTGAGGAACGTCTCACCTGTCCTTAATCAGTAATCGTAACTTGACATATTTCTTTATTTACTTTTTAATCGATCTTTTTAGTAAACCTTTTCTGTAAATAATTTCATTAAATGTACCCTTCCTTAGCTCTTCCATTTTTTCAAAGGAACATTCATCATAGACAGCTTTAAGAAAGTGGGATCGGAAATGATTGATTTCTACATAACTGCTTGCACTTACTTTTTTCTATTCCACTTCACGCATTCTATACGAGTTTACCAAAACTTATGTGATAAATCAAATTCAAAATTAAATTAAATTAAATAAAATTCAGTTCAATAAAATTAAATTAAAATTGAATTGCGTTCACGGTGCTGAAATATTAAATTAATCACACAGAAATACACATCTAGTTATTTTAACTGTTTGAAGTTAATTATTTTGATACAGCATGTAAACACTTTTGAAATATTTCTATAATTGGTAAAAATATGGTAACATAATTAAATATTTAACTTTTTGTAAAATAAAAGGTAGGTGGTTAGTACTGAGATATACTTTCAAAGTTTCCCTGCCTGGGAAACATGGGGAAAACTACACATTGGTGGCTTCCATGTCGGGAATCTGTATGGAAACCACTGAGGCATGTTTACATGGTTTCCTATCTTGGGAAACTTACGGGAAACCACAGGTTGGTTGTTTCCATATCGGGAATCTACATGGAAACCACCGGGGCATGTTTCCATGGTTTCCTATCTTGGGAAACTTACGGGAAACCACAGGTTGATTGTTTCCATGTCGGGAATCTATGTGGAAACCACCGGGGTATGTTTCCATGGTTTCCTATCTTGGGAAACTTACGGGAAACCACAGGTTGATTGTTTCCATGTCGGGAATCTATGTGGAAACCACTATGTGGTTTCCATAAAATGGAAACTATATGGAAACTACTGATGTCACGATTCCCATATGTTTTCATCGGGTTTCCAAATTTGGGAAACCTGGCTTTTCATCCTGTGATAACCTGATCTGAAAATCTTCAGTTATTTTTATTTAAAGCACCAGTGACAATTCGCAAAAATTTGAAGCGTAAAAATTAATCAACAGCTTTTTGACCCAAATTCGCAA